TATATATATAATACTCTGTGGGAAGTGTGGGTTTTACACTATGCAGTATTTTTCTCATTCTTATGTCAGTTTCTATATTTTTCCAGGTCCATGACCTTCACCTTTACTGATTTAATCAGATCCCTTTACAAAAATCCTAAGTACTGCCCTGTTGTTAAAAAAAAAAAAAAAAATGAGAACAATACCCGTGCCTTTCCTTAAGCCTCCTTCCTGCCTTTTCATCTTGTGCATAGCTTCTTCCTGATACCAGAATTCCATTTAAACAGGGTCTGTACCCTCTCCGTCCACTTTCTTGAAACCTAGCTCTTCCCCTAGCTATGCAGGCCTCTAAGCCACCTCTCAAGCCTCATCCTCTTGGATTCCCTTGAGTATGTGATAAGGATGAGCCTACTCTACTATTCTGAAACACTTGTCATGACGTGGCCAATATCTGAATCCCTGACAACTTTTTGTGAACAACTTTTGCCTAGTCACTGGCTTATTTTTCTTCTTTAAACAGAGCCCTTCCTTCCGGTATAGCCCTTCCTCTTAGGAATTGTGTCCCCTCCTGTGATGTCAGCATCAGCTCTCTTAATGTCACCCCACTACTGAGCAGTCATTCCTGAATTTTCCTCCCAAAGCCACATGGGCATCAGGCTGATGCTGAATGTCTTTATTTGGAGTGTCAACTCACTTATCAAATTCAGCATGTGCCAAACTGGTCATTCCTTCCCCAGAACTCCTCGTGACTCTGTCTTTTTGATTCATGTCACAGTCTATTTGCTCAGTCACTCAAAAACTTGTCGTTTTTCTGTATTCTTTCTATTCCTTCTTAGATCAAACGTCTGGTCAGTCACCACATCCTGTCATTTCTATTTCTGCACTTCCCATTACATCTGTCCTTTCTTTTCTTTTCTTTTTTTTTCCCCCCTCTCTGTGTGTATATTTTAGTTGCTGCTTCTAGTAGTGGGTGACTCTCTTTATCTATCTCAAAGTCAGATTCCCTATAAGGGAAGATATGATTGATGGGTTTAATTTTTCTTGTCTCTATGAAGATGTCCTGTAGGGCAAGGTCATCTCGTCAACTGCTGGCCAGTCAATAAGGTCAGCTGCCATGAGGTCAAGTGCCTTTTCTGATCCAGACTGAGGGGAAGAACTTGGTTGATACAAAATGGCCTCGTTAGAGTTAGAAACTGCTGAGGGTCCCTGTTTTCATCAAGAAATATAGGTGTGGCACTTTTCCATGGGAGGCAACCAGGGCCTTGAAAAACTGTCCTCTCCAAGATAATGGTCACTGTCTACTCAGATGAAACTTGTACAGTTTAATCATCTTTTCAAAACTTGGGTTTTCTTCCCTGTGCCACCATTATTTCTGTAGCTAAGAGAATTTAATCCTCCTATTGCCAGAAGAATCACCCAGTTTCCTGTACCACCCAAACTATAATTACCTCTGTTTCTCTCCCCTTTCTCTCTCTGTTTCTGTCTCTCTCTCTTTCCCTCTCTCTCTTTCTTTAAAACACTGACACTTTTTTGCATTAATTTTGTTGTCCTGTTTCCTTCAACTTATTTCACAGTCTGTCATTGCAATTTGTTGTCACAGGCATTGCAGGTCATCAAAACTAAACAAGGCCCAGTTTCTCTTCTTAAAATCTTCACTCATACTTGTGATCTAGACCATGTCCTAGGCGTTATACTTCACTCAAAAAGGTTGGATGTGAAAAACTATAATTCAAATTTATCTAGCTGAAAACTATGGAACCGTTTTGTACTTTTTTATATTCTATGAAATAGAGTACACAAAATATTTTAGGAAATAAAATGATATGCTTCATTTTACATACCAATAACTTGAAGAACTTCTTACACATTCAGGTAAAAATATGCAGCACACATTGAATATGTAAATTTGAAGATGGAAGAGATGAATTGAGGACAGATACAGGTGTTAAATATCATTAGATAAATGATAGCTTATCCAAAGGAGTAGGTAAAATTATGTAGAAAAAAAAATGTGTAACAATATGGTCCATTTGACAGAGAGAAATAGATTATTGAACAGCTAGTTAATCACTTAAAAACAAAATAAAGCTGAAAACCTGCTTTGCTCCTTGTATCAAAATGGATTTCATGTTGACCAAAAATTTAAATCTAAGAAAATGGAACCATTTTAAACAATTATAGAAGTTGAGTGATTTAGTTGGGTGCCATGATGCACACCTGTAATCTCAGCAGCTCAGGAGGCTGAGACAGGAGGATCTCAAGATTAAAGCCAGCCTTAGCAAAAGAGAGGAGGTAAGCAACTCAGTAAGACCCTGTCTCTAAATAAAATACAAAATAGGGCTGGGGATGTGGCTCAGTGGTTGAGTGCCTCTGAGTTGAATCAATTTCTAGTACCAGAAAAAAAAAAAAGTTTTATACATGAGTAGTCTGTAAAATACCATGTCAAATATGAAAAATACAAAGAAAAGGGTTAATGGATTAAAACTGAAAAAGATCAATAAGCTGAGGAAATTATTTGAAATACATATAGGCTGGATTTTAATTTTAAACCAGAGGTCTACATATTAACTTCATCTTTTGATAACGAGTCTTTAATTTTATTGGCCACAGAGATTTTGCTTATTCAGCAGCTTCCGGCGGACGATCAAGAGCTACCAAAGTAATGGTGGTTGTGACCGATGGGGAGTCCCATGATGGTTCAATGCTGAAGGACGTGATTGAGCAATGCAACAATGACAATATACAGAGATTTGGCATAGCAGTAGGTGGCTTTTCTTTTCATGTGTTTTGTAGTTGATGGATAAATGTTCCTTTATACCAGCACTTTCTTATTGACTGTTCAAAGTTTATTATTTAAAAAAGTTTTTACTATCTCTCTGCTCCTTGCTGATTTTCTGTCTTGTGGACTAAATAAATGGGTGTGGAAATGTTGCTTGATTTACTTCTCCAGAAGGTCTTTGGTGTTGGGAAGTAGACTAGAAGGTGTTATTAGGAAACGTGGAGAACAACGGGAATGACTTTTGTCCTTCTTCCTCTATTTTCAAGGTTCTTGGGTATTTAAACAGAAATGCCCTTGATACTAAAAATTTAATAAAAGAAATCAAAGCCATTGCCAGTGTTCCAACAGAAAGATACTTTTTCAATGTGTCTAATGAAGCAGCTCTTCTAGAAAAGGCCGCGACATTAGGAGAACAAATTTTCAGCAATGAAGGTAAAAGAGCTCCTTTTAAGAACTTTCTTCTAAAACTTTTTGAAATTTTTATTGTATTCACACATTTGCATTATTAATGTCAATTAGTATAGTTTTGTAGGAAAAAAGCTACTATAGATCAGTAAGAAAAATTTACAAATATGAACAAATACTTTATAAAGGATAGAATATAAATGATTCACAAACATAAAAAATATTCCCAACTTCAGTAGTTATTTAAAAATAGAATTTCCATCACTTTTATATTTTATCTAAATGTGCACAATAATGTTTACTATTACAGAGATTATTGAGAAGTAAAGAAGCTCATACATTGTTGACAAGATGATAAATTGATGAAAAATTAGCAATATCTATTACATTCCTAAATAGTTTTATCTTTTTATATGATATTGTATAATTTTTGAAGAAACATTTTATTTATGAGATCTAAAATATTTTACTTATGTGGACTTAAAAAGTCTAGTCAGTGTAGAAATATCACATATCCAGGCACTCACTGTGTGGAGGATTAGAACATACTTTAAATTTCGTAAAGAGTTCCACTCTACCCAAATCCTGGTTCTAGATAGTTAATGCAACTCTCTGAAATAAAAAGGGTATATTAAGGGAAAGAGAGGTGGGAATAGCAAGGATAGTAGAAAAAAACAGACATTATTACTTTATGTATATATGTAACTGTGAACAATATGATTCTACAACATGTACACTCAGGAAAATGAGAAATTATATCCCATCTATATATATCAAAGTTCATAAATGCATTCTATTGTCATGTAAAACTAATTAGATCAAATTTTAAAAATTTTTAAAAAGGGTATTTTAGTGATCATCTACATATCAGGAACTACCTCCAAATATGCATCCAAGGGGATTGCATAAATTAAAAGTTCATTGCTATATTTACATCTTGATCTCCTGATTATTTACTGGAAATTCCTAATTAAAAAAATTCTATTGCTTCTTAAATATCTTATGGTGCTTCTAAGTGACTAGTCATCATCAAAATCTCATGTTCCCTGAGATAAAAAATACTAAGCTGTCCGTGCTGATAATTTTGTGCATTTGTAGTGGCATGAATAAGAATGACCACAATGTAATCTAAAGCTAACTGGAAATGATTTTGTACATTATCTACTACTACAGACTTTTTGAAGAGCACTCTTCTATTTTATTAAAATTACCTCTGCTCATTCTGTGTAAATCATTACCTCTTCTAAACAATACTAGGTTATATAGTATAGTTTCTTCTCTTTATTAAAATGTTAGTCCAGGAATTTAGCTTCCTTTTTGTGAAGATTAGTGAAATGGAGCCATCTTGATCTTAACACATGGAAAATGAGCACTAGTGCTAGTGACAGGGGCAAGCACTACATGTGAACAACTTCCTCCTTGGTAAAATTCCTCCTCAATATTTAATCTTGGTTTCTGGTAGCTAAACCAAATATCTCTCAGCAGAATCTTCATCACTGGTCATTTACCTAACTCATCCAACTGCATCTGAGATATGTGTGCATTTATTGAGACATACTTAAAAGTTAAAAATTCAGTTAGTTTTTCAGCTAGTAATGAAAACTTTTTTTAAAAACCTGACATCAGGACTGGGGTTGTGGCTTAGTGGTAGAGCGCTTGCCTAGCATGTGTGAGGCACTGGGTTCAATTTTCAGCATCACATATAAATAAATAAAATAAAGGACCATTGACAATTTAAAAATGTTTTTTAAAAAACTGACTTTAATTTTCACCTTGCCTCATACCCTTCCTTTGTGAAAGGGTCTTTAATATCAGGAACTTTGTAGGCATGTCATTAAATGCATTAATCTTAAGTTAAAACCAACTATGAACACTACTTTGGAGGTATTATAGATTTTCATAATCTGTTAAAACACTTTCTTAGTCATTTCCTTTTTCCAGGATCTTCCAGCTCTTTATTTTTGGGTGAATGTGTGTGTGTGTGTGTGTGTGTGTGTGTGTGTGTGTGT